CAATTAATTACATATTTTAAGAAAAATCCATACTCATTGATACCCCATTCTGGCTTCTGAAAAAACACAGTACAATTTTTAATCTATATTAATGATATAGCCAATTCTACAAATTCCTTTCATTTTCGACTCTTTGCAGATGTTACTAACCTATTTAAATTTATTCAAACCAATGAAATCAGAAATTGATAATGACTTTCAAAAAGTTCGTGAATGGTGCAGTGATAACAAACTTACTATTAATCCTGAAAAAAATAAAAATTACATGCTAATTAAAACACCACAACGATCGGTCGCTACTGAGGGCTGCCTGGATATTAACGGGTCACCGATAGGGGGCGTACATGTCGTCAATTGTCTTGGCGTCTGTCTCTATTAACCAGAATATGTCATTGAAAGCTCACATTGATACAATTTGCAAGTTATTGCACCAAAAATTGGATTAATTTCACAACTACGTTATTTTGTACCTAGACATATCCTTATTCTCTTATACAACTCTTTAATTCTTCCACACATTACATATTGCCTGGAAATCTGGGGTAATACATATGCTACTCTACTTCAACCAATATATCTCTTACAGAAAAAATAGTACGCCTCATCACTTTCTCTGATCCATATTCCCATGCTGCTCCTCTTTTCCAAAAACTAAGAATACTAGACATGTTTTTCATTCTGTAAGTTACAAACATGTTTATTTGTCATTGATCCCAGTAATAACTATATTGTACTCAATATTTACAACTATTTGGACCCATTGTTCAATAATTATCAAACCCGCTTAGCCTGTAGCTTGAATTATTATACTCCAAAACTGAATCTTACACTCAACCATTACAGTCTAAAATACTCTGCAACAAAACTATCACTAAGAGACACATATTTCAAGCAAAATTAAAAAAAATATCTCTTCAATATTTGATTTATAATATTATTTCATTCTTTATTTGGAGATTTGTGTGATTAAACTATGAAATTATATATACAGGGGTTACGAACCCGACTAGTTTTGATGAAGTATATCTGTAATTCCCACCAAAAAAAGGAAAGTACTCTAAGTAGAATTCATTATTTACTACCTGCACAATTTCTACATTTAATGTTGTTTTAAAACTTGTTTTGGTGAAATAAATTTCATTCATTCATTCATTCATACATTCATATATGGATAGTGTAATGGTGAACACCCACCTGGGTATTTTAAATTAAATTAAAAAAATTAAATAAGACAAATTAGAAAATAACGTTCGATAAAGGGGAGATGAAAAGAATAATATAACAAACAAGCAGCCTCTCAGCTGAGATAGCTCCGCTGTTAGCAATGCACATTTCAATTAAGAACTGATAATATCATTAGAAAATGAACAATATGTATAATATCAAAGCAATCGCACTTGTGGTTTTTAACAAGAAGTCGAAAATATCATTTTTTACCAAAAATGACAAACATATTCATCAAAATAAAAGAATCAAAGATATCATCACGAAATGAGCAAATCTGAGAGAGGACCACATGTAGTACCTATATATGTAATACCTAATGTATGGGTCAGACATTTGGGCAGGTGAACTAACAACTGACACAAATAACCTTAGAGCAAGTTTGTAATAATTATTATCGTTTTATTCTTGGGGTTAGTAAATTTACACCATCAGTTGCTATAAGGGGTGTACTAGGTAGATTAACAGTAAGAATAAATGCAATGGTTTCAAAGGTTAAATACTGGTACAGAATAAATTTCCTTCCTGAAAATCACATATTAAAATGTGCATTAAAGGAAATACAAAATAATTCTGCCTGGATTACTCAAATAAAAACAATTTTTGGAGAGAAAAAAACTTGTCTAAAATAAAAGAAACTTACAAGATCAACAATATTAATCAACTAACCAATGTTGTAAAAATAAAGCTAACAAACGAATTTATTCAATCATGGAGAAAACAATTAAATAAAAAAGAGGGGAACAAACTTAGAACATATAGTATATTTAAACAAAATTTTAAATGAAATGAAAAACTTCAGCCAACGTAGAGTTTTAGCAAAATTCAGACTCAGTGACCACAACCTCGGAATTTAATTGGGAAGAATGAGTAAACCAAAAACCCCAGAAAATTAAAGAACTTGCAAAAAATGCAATTAAGATCAGATTGATGATGAAATGCATTTCATCTTAGATTGCAATTTCTATGAAGTAGGAGGAAACATGTCTTGAAGTATTTTAAAATAAAAATTAATGAGTTGCCCAGAATGAAAAGCTTCGTGAAAATAATGGGAAATAATATGGCTTTATCATATTATTTAAAAAATACAAACATTTTTTCAGAGATTTTCTAATTTTTACTTCTTCTCTTTTGTTGAATTTCGGTTTATTTTAATTTTAGTATTTTAGTTTGTCTTGTTTTATTTGTCCTTGTAGTCAACTTTTATCTTACTAAACCCACAGATGGTTAAGTTCCGTAATAAAGTTATTATTGAAATCACAGCAATCGGACTTGTCGTTTTTAACAAAATTAGAAAATTAAAGATAGCATCATGAAATGAACAAATCTGAAAGAGGTCCATATGTAGTACCTATATATGCAATATCAAAGCAATCGGACTTGCCGTTTTTACAAGTCGAAAATATCATTTTCACCAAAAATGACAAAAATATTCATCAAATCAGAGAATTAAAGGTTCACGAAATGAACAAATCTGAAAGAGGCCCACATATTGTACCTATATATGTAATATCAAAGCAATCGGGCTTGTGGTTTTTAACAAGAATTCAAAAATATCACTTTTACCAAAAGTAACATAAATATTCATCAAAATTAGAGAATTAAAGATATCATCACGAAATGAACAAATCTGAGAGAGGTCAGCATAGATTTCCGATATATGTAATATCAAAGTAATAGGACTTGCCATTTTTTACAAGAAGTGGAAAATATCACTTTTTACCAAAAATGACAAAAATATTCATTAAAATTAGAGAATTGAAGATATCATCACGAAATGAACAAATCTGGGAGGTCTAAATGTAGTACCTATATATGTAATATCAAAGCAATCGGACTTGCCATTTTTTACAAGAAGTGGAAAATATCACTTTTTACCAAAAATGACAAAAATATTCATTAAAATTAAAGAATTGAAGATATCATCACGAAATGAACAAATCTGAAAGAGGTCCACATGTAGTACCTATATATGTAATATCAAAGCAATCGAACTTACAGTTTTTAACAAGAAGTCAAAAATATTACTTTTTACCAAAAGTGACAAAAATATTTATCAAAATTAGAGAATTAAAGATATCACCACGAAATGAACAAATCTGAGAGAGGTCTACATATATTACCTATATATGTAATATCAAATTAATCAAACTTGCGGTATTTGACAAGAAGTCGAAAAAAACACTTTTTACCAAAAATAGCAAATTTGAGATTTTGACATGAAATGAACAGATCTGGGAAAGAACCATCCAAGGTACTTACATATCAAATTTGAAAACAGTCTGACTTGCGCCGGTTTCGAAGAAGAAGTTGAATTGTAAAGTTGACGACGGCGGACTACGACGAACGACCACGACGGATAATCAGTAATATGAACAGCTCTGCTTTGTCGACTTTGTCGACAACGGAGCTAAAAAAAGCAGGTTAAATAATAAAATAAAAAAAATGAAATACAATAAAAAGAAACAAGAATGTGAAATAATTATAAAGATGAAGGAATGCATTTGTTGGCTAAGACACATAGTTATTCACATATGTTGTACAGCTTTAATTATAATTAAGAACTTACCTAGTACGCCTAATTTTACATGTTTTCACGATTGTGACAATATCAGACCAATGTAAACAATATTAATACACACTCGAAGTATTCTAGTTTATTCAATTTATTGTGACGCATGGTTTCCATAAAGCATATACTGTATGATATCTCGAAAACAATTCAGCAGTCTTTGTAAACTAGGTGTGCTTGTGTAAGAGGTCAAACGAGTGAAAAATTATTATAAAAAAATGTTATGATACATTCTGGATTCTAATTATAAATTACACGTTTCCCATCTTGTAGCAGCAATAAAAATAACGAACTACTAGTATGCCATTCGAATTCCTAGTACATACATGCAATTTAAAACATATATGTAGTTCTGTAAAATGAATAATATATTGCACGTGATCAAAACAATTTGTAAAACACAATGGGTATACCAATAATAACTACGGAACTACAATATCAGAATAATTCATACAGTTTTTTTGTTACTAATTGTAAAAATTACTGAATGACGAAATGCTCAGTTTGAATCAAAAGTTTTAGCAAAATTAGAACAATGAAAAATGATAAAAACCTTTATATTACCCATATACACCTTTCGATTTCATACTTTGCACATACATTGCAAAATAAGATATATTAATATACATCTAGTATCGTGAACACAGGACTTGTCTAAGACGTTCGATATTATCCTTATATGGGTTAAACTACGTCACCAACATTGACGTCACATTCGAACACAAAAGCGCTATAGCGATGGATATTGAATCTCAAACGCAAACTTTCGTACAGCGCAAAACGTATTTCGTTGTCATTTCAACCTATACATTCTCAATAAATCAATTATTTCGATAGGTGTCAGTGATAACGTTCGGTTAAATATTACAAATTTTACAATATTTGTTTAATAATATACAACTGTCAATCAGAATAGAGAATATTTCATCGCTCACAATCCAGACAACTGTTGCCAATAGAAATGAACTTCGCAGAGCAGCCCAAACAACTTTCACCGAATTTTATTTCGCGCAAAAGAAAATTGATCAAGGGCCCATTTCAGTTACAAAGTACAGCACATGTAAGGTACATGTAACTGTAATGTAACTATACATGCTTGAAATACAACTAAAGTGGCCTTATTATTATTATACACTATCGTGTCATTCAGGTTAATAACAGAGAATACTGGAATTTCCACACTTCCGTAAATTCATTTGTTCAGTCATGGCATTGACGTAGACAATCTCTGCATCTCTCTCTTGAATGGGCCTTTGCCTAAAGAACTGTCCCGTGTTGAATGAGTAACTGTACTGGTAGCCGATGAACGATGACGACGAGGATGACGGCTAACATTACACTTCAGTATTTTTTTCGCATCATTCTGTAACCAAATAAAGTAAATATATTTGTAGTTAATTTGTGACCTATTTTACCGACTTTAATTGTAACAGTGTCTCAAATAAACGACTGAAATCTACTTCAAAACGCGGTAAAATATCTCCAAAGGATGGCACCATAATTTATGAGTTTATTACTAACATATACAGACACAACGGGTGATTTGAGCTGACAACCACGGCAAAGCGCATCGTCAATTTAAATAAACGCGAACTTCACTACGCTAACTATCCCAATGAAGACATTTTAAAACAACGTGTGCAAGCCAAATCAGACATCACAGAGTACATAAACGGTGCATTTATAGTCAGTAATGTGTGCTCCAAGATAAATAAATAATTCAATGATGTTCTGTTCAATATCCGTATAAGTACGTGTGCTCTAGCTTGTATGCAAGTAGTCTATACAGATTTGCCGACCTAAAGAAAGCATTATTGATTCTAACTAATATCGAATAAAATAAACATTTTGTAAAAGGCCGCACTGCAAGATCTCTCTTGCCTCAGGTTTTAATGACAACATTCAACCTTCGGGTGTCATGTTTTACGTTGGGTTTCACTAATAACGCGTGACACTGCAGTGAAACTAAAATAGTCGAGTTCGAATCTCCTTTGTAGCGTGTTTGAAATAATTTATGTTTATAATTACTGTTCAATAGTGATTGTCCCCAGCTTACACACGTACATTGTAATATATATACCGTAGTTGGCGATATTTGGTAATTTCCTAAGTAACTATATGGAAAACGGCCCTTCATCAGTAACATATGTGACATACTGAATTTTACTATATTTCATTTTGATTCGTTTGTCACAGTTATTATATTGTTGGTATAAATGTCAATTTCTCAAGTACTAGTACGGTTCTTGAGCTTATTTTATACATTAGCGTATGTGATCAGCGAGACAATGACGATTATATGAACGATAACCTTTGGGACTCGGAAAATAACAATTCAAAATCAATTTCCACAGATTACAATGATATCATATTTTGCCAATACAAAACTAGTAAACTGATGTAAGGAAATGTTTGGTGTAGCCAGTATGACGTTATATGATGGATAACATCTTCCTACTCTGGAAAATAAAATCTGAAGTAAAATGTCTAGGCTTCTCATTCGTCTATTTCTCTATGGAAATGATGAGAAGTATGGTCCGTGGTGTTTTGCAGAGAATACTTATCGTGAAAACAAAATACTTACATGGCTCCTACACGCTGTTTGCGTGTCATCTGTTCCTTGTACGTGTTTGAGTGTAACTCTACGGAAAATAATGTTTTACCTATTATGTATAATTGTTATCTATACTCACTCTGAAACCTTCATTGAGAAATCCATATATGATTGGGTTCATAAAACTATTAGCCATGGCAAGTAGTAGTGCACAGCTCTGTGCTATTCGCATACTATCCTGTGTTTCAATGTCGGCGTATAACGAAGGAACCAGATCGTTGATGACGTTGAAAACTTGCAGTGGAAACCAACAGGAGGAAAACACCACGACAATAATTACCAGCATCTTTATTGTCTATGAATAACATCAGATGACAATTTATGATTAATGAGAATTGCACAATATAAATAGAAGATATCTAAATGACCCATAATACTCTATTCATCAAAGGGCGATGGCTATGGATTTAATCCATGCACGAATGTAACGCAAAGAAATTTGATTATTTTCTCGAAATAATAATAATACGACTTCACATGCATCGCAGGCATGCCTAAGCTGATCACGTTCAAACTTTACACCGATACCATACAATTTGGGATATATTTTATGCACGTCCATTCATTTTGAAATCATATTCTCGGACTGACTGGGTTAAGTTTTGTTGCTATTGCACGATGGGTACTGTGTCACTTTTTTACATCGAATTCGAGTGCGTGCTGGGCGATGATTAACGTCTTTTAAAATGTAGTAAAGTGTAGTAATTGTCACGTGTGCCAAGCATTTGGCAAAAAAATGATAATTTAATAAATCTGCAATGTGATAATAAATCTGATAAATCTGCCATTCATGAGATATTCTGTATGTTAAATCAAGTTATCCATTCCACCATTCAAAATTGAATCATTGGCTATGAACCGAAGAGTGAAAACGTCAACTGGCAACCGTCGACTACGGACATGTATCGACAATACACAGTCCCTATTTGGCATTACCGGTGAATTTAAAAGCAGAATGCTGGAAGAGCATATACTGGCATAGCATGTGGTGATTATGACCACACACACACACACACACACAAACAAACAATAAAAAACCACATGACCTCCGTCGGCTATTTTTGCTCGAATCTCAGAAACGTTTGACGTGTCCAAAACACATTTACAGACTGCGATTGTAGGATTTTAGACATAATTTAACACAAAATGGTTGTAACGTCGACAAAGTTGATCAAATCAAAACACAGCCTTAGTCAGGTGATATATTAACGAGGAATTGGCATGTACATAAATACACAAAACAGACGCCTTAATTTTATAGCACTTTTTCAACCCCCAAAATAGTGACGTACACCTGTGGATGTTTATGATGAAAAGATGGAATGAAATCACACTATTCATCCCCCCAAAAAGGTTTAAAGACTACGTTTTTAAGATTATAGACAAAATTAGTAATCAGTCAAACCTTTCATAAGGTCGTCTATATGCTGCAGTGGCATTATATTAAAAGAATATACCAACAATTTTGATTGATGACATAAACCATAATACCCCATGCCCCATACCAAATCTTTAAAAAAATGTGAAAATGATCAAAGTGATCGTAATCTCGTTTAATGTTATTCAATAAAAAAAGTTACTATGTATGGTATTACGAGTATGGTACTTGTGTACTTCCAACTGAATCAGGTTATATATGCATGAATGCCCCCCGTAAAATCATTGCGGGGGATTGGAAATTGAACTTCAACGTAAACTATCGCATACAATAAGTTGGGAACACTAAACGTCCTGTGCAGTCATAATCATGACAATTGCATGGCTAGTTTTAAACTGTGCGTATATCACTGCCACCCCTATCAGCTATGAAGTGTTCCAAGAGCGCCTGTGCCTTATCCGTAGTATCACAACACATCCAGGTTGTCAAATGATTATGATAAAGACCCCCGTGATATCGTTTTACTCGTAATTATATTAGATCGGCACTACCTAAGGTGATAGTTGTTACGAATTGAATATGCCCTGGGTTTTATATTGTGCCATCAATGAAGCTACGAAACCGAGAAATGCGGAATCCCCAGAATTACATATTGCTATAGCCTGCTAATCTATTGAATTGGAGGTTTTTTATCTCAATAAAGACGCCCAAAGTAACACAATCCCTATGTATATGTTATATTATATTTTAAATAAGATGCGCTAGGGCAAATTAAGTGTTGTATTGTCGGCGGAACCCATATTGTGTTAGCAGAAACAGGATTGTATCAAGGAAGTCAAATAATTGGTCTTTTACGATTGTCTCGAATGTTTTCCTTATTAGGGGTAGAATTGAAATGAGCCTATAGTCACTGATGTTCATCCTATTTTAGATTTGAGTAATTTGGGGAAATTTAAATGCATCAGGAAATATGCCTAGAGAAATTGAATCGTTAATTATGTGAGCATATTGTATGTCATCTTTGGGCCATGTTTGAATGAAATTGGTAGATGTGAAGGTTGAACTGTATGTTCTGTCAAAATCTACCACTCTGACCTTACCATCACAAATGATTGTGATCTACACAAACGCTGCAAGAAAATCATTGATTGTCCACGTGATATCAACTAAACAATTGAATGGACCTTGAAATAAATCACATGGCTTTGAGTGTAGTATGAAAATCATACATAACGATGTGTCAAACAAAACCTATAATTTCGGGCTGTTTGACGCCATTGAATATTGAATGCTGCATAGTGAGTGTATATCTGAACGACGAGGCAGTGAAACCTTATATTACGGAAAATATACTCCTGGCACCAAAGCTGAACTACGACTGTAAATAAAAAGATTCCTTTTAACCAGTAATTATTCAAACTTTTTTCGTTAACATGTTATGTTCTTAAATAATTAGTAGTCGTCACAGATGCAATTTCGAAAGTTGAATAATGAAATCAAATTTTTTGTAATCATGTCTATATGTTTTATTAATTGTTATTTTTATGAATTAAATTAGTCACTAATGATCTCTTGTAGCGTATTTGTCATTTATTATTGTTGTATACGTATCAAATGGTAGGCCATATTTCAATACTCAGTAATACAGAGTCATGTTCACAGCCATAAATACTGCAAAATAATGTTAGAAAAATGGTTTTAACATTACAATAAAGACTTTCCATTTTCGACATTGTAACATTCTTTTGTTTTTATGAAAATCTTAATATTTTTCTAGAATTTTCTTGTTTCCTTGTCATTTCAGTTGTTTTTAGCCCCCAAAAAAGAAATTCATAATGTCGAAAACGAAAAGTTGTTTATCGTAGTGTTAATTCTATCAAATCAAACGATACCCAACATGTATGTCTTCCGTAATCGCATACTACTTATGTGCTTTAGCAGTGATCTAATCTTATAACCCATTGACTTATTAGCGCTACTATCTCCGCCATGCTCTAAAAACACGCAATTAACGTAATGTTAACTCTGTTCACTCTAAAATTGTGGGACTAGTTTGAAATTCGTGAGCTGAACGTGAGCCCATTTAACCAATTTAAAATAATTCAGAGAGATTGATGGATTAGCAATTTATAGACGTGTGTAGTTGACATTTTACAGAAACCTTACAATACGTACTCGTGCTTCATAATAGACTACTAAGGTCATATGATTCTTTCACTGCGGCATCCAATAAAGGATCTGTCGGTTCCTATGAAGTGCTCACATATACATCAATCATGACGTCACTAAACTGATTAATGTAGCTCGATGTCTACGTCATATGGAAACTTAAAAAACATGCATTCAACAGTCTGTTCCCAATTGTAATTGTATTTATATTACCCTGTATACCAATTAATGCAAAGTAAGGACAAAACATCGCAACAACAGGTGATTTTTTCATTATTTTATTATTGTTCGGAGGTTTATCACACAATTAATTAGTAAATACAATTCTATTCAAATGATGTCCACTAACCATCGCCAATGACATGATTATATCATGGCAGTCAATGAGTTTATCTAACGGCATACCTTATTTCACAATGGGTTATGTCTGTAGCGAAATAAATAATTTGATTTTGAACGTAAATTTCCGTTTTTATAGTTCAATGTCATTTCGAACTGCCCTTTGTGGCTCAGTTAGTGTGACGTGGTAGATAGGCCGTCGGCCTGCAGTGGCGAGGCGATTGCCGTGATCGCCATTCGAATCCTGTGTTTTCATGTTGTATTTGTAACGTATGTCTGTTTGCATGTACAATGTATCAACAAATGCGTGTAACACATATCTAGGCGTGGAAATATTCCAAAATAGTTTTGTGTTTGTCGCATCCCACGCGTTTTGACGCCACTAAGATACTGTGACTTTTGTTTGTCATGTTTTCCTACGTTCTAGTTCATACAATCCCACAGTAACGCAAAATAGTCTATTAATATTTTCACTATAAAACTTTCTTGCCCAAATTCTTCGGCACCTTTTTCTGAAATTCTTCAATATTTCTGCAAATGTTTCCTTATTTTACAGCCAACAGACAAAATTAGTAAATTTTCCGTTTTCACTCAAAAAATTTGGTTATTTTTGTCCCGATCCTCTGAAGGAAAGTGCAGACTACAAACGGGAATGTTTTGCAAATTTGTGATGAAAAGAGGGAACTGGTGATGAAAAGGTTAATGTAATACCGTCGTCCTGATGTAAGTTAACAGTTGTACATGCCTTATATACGAAGCACAAGACCCATATTGAACACGGGCGGCGTGTCTATTGCCGCTGGATTGAGATAATTTAAACATTTACATCACTAGTTTAACTTTTGTGAAACCAGTCTTATTCGGAAAATTTTTCTTCATTTGCACACATATTTACAAGAACGCACTCACCTTTCGTTTTGATCTCATTTGTGACAAATCTCTGTTATAATCAGCGTTCCCGGGCAAACTACGTCCCCAGAGGCGTCTACCAATATTGTAATAGGTATATGACAGTATACACAATGGTATGATGTACGTGATGACCAGGATGAAAAACTCGTATCCCATTGCGGCTGCAGGACTCACTCTCTCACTGCAAAAAAATACAATATCTTCTGGTGTATCGATGAAATCATTAAGATCCACAGGCCTGGAACGCGCTGTTACCAACACAACAACTGAGAGTAAAATCGATACAATCCAGATAAGGAATACGATGTACTTAGCCCGATTTTTAGTTACACGTAGTTTGAATGGATACAAAACAGCATAATATCGATCAATACCAATGGCTGTCAAAGTATATATACTGACGCAGACCGAAATCTAATGAACAAAAAAAGAACAAAAAACAAAGAACAAAAAATTACTCAATCGCATATGTACGATATTTTTTTGAAATACGCTATAGCCAGAAGAAAACATGATTACTATGATATCAATATATCACATGATTGCATAAATCACACATAAACTCGTTTGTATCATAAATGATATATGGTTTGGTATGTTATTTCCACTTTACAGCAAGTCTCAGAGATATTGGGCCAGCAAATTATCTATCTTGCTCACTAATTTTTCAACTTTGGTTTTACTGTCATCAGATGACTTGTAATTTGAATATAACCCTTTATACTGTCCCTATAAAATGCAGGTCATCAATGCGTTTTACTCATGTACAATTAGTAAAAAAAGCTGTAGGGTCAAAGCTTGTATATAAGGTAGAATGTGATACTCAACAACAATGTCAACAAGCAAGATGCTTTGTGATTGGTCTGAATATTGGCAGTTTGGTTTGAGTAGCCAATAAGGCATAATCTTGTGAGTCGAAAAACGCAGCATATGTCCTTGTGAATGCATACATGTGCAGTGCCATATTCCCAGTTCCGTGTCAGCAATGTGCCATGAGCTGAATGGAAATCCCTAAGCGTGTGTGGAAGAAAACGACTAAAGATGACATAGCTAATTCAGGAAATACAAGTCCTTGTTACTGTGGCAACTGGACAAGTACATTGAAAGTATTAGTCATCAAAAAAGGCCGTCAGAAGGACAAAGTAGGGTATATGATATACCTTACTTTTAGCTGCGTTGAGAAGATCTCATTCACACAAATCAGGCAGTGGTAAATTTGGATGTAGTGCTTTGAAGAGAAAGTCTGAGAGTTTAAGTAAGTTTGGCATTTGTGAATTGGGAAATCGATGCTAGAATTACTCGTCTTGGTTTTAGATTTAAGTATTTATACATGTAGAATAGGCGAGAAGTCACGCTGTGGTTATTTGCATTTCATAAATGTTATTGTATCTGTGATATGTACAGAACTACTCTCAAAGATTTTACGGCCTGAGCTACTAACTGTAGTTGGTTATGTTTTGAAATGTGCACTATGTGTGGGATAAATAACAAATAAGATACAAGTAATCGTGTATTTTTTTATTAACAGGGCACATATTAAATACAATATATTAAATAACAGGAGCAAACGACGCAACGATTGTATCTTCAGGTGTGATTCTTGCCAACAATAAAGGCACAAACGTGAACGTAAATCACACAACTCTTAGCCCGGTACACGATTACCGGTCCGCTCAACTCCTCCATTATCTTGAATGAATGCTAACAGTTTACTCATTAACAAATTTAACTCATTGCAACGTCATGAAAAGAATTTGTTGGTTCTATTTTCATTGCTGTGACAACTATCAGTTGAAATAGCGCGTGGGGAAAATCACTGATAATCATTGTTCAGACAATCAGCGTCGTGGTCACGTACTGACATGGAGGCGAAATATAAACAGGTATTCTAGACGCAGTGGAAAGTCGTTACCCTGCAACGGCCATTGAGTATCTATGATAACATGGTTTTGTACTAAAATGTGGTTAATATGTGGAATGAATTGTTCCCCCAATGTTTAGATAGTAGCAATGTCAGTGAATGTGTACATCATGTCTACACCTTGTTCAATATATAGTACCCACCATATATTAATTAAATAGTTAAAATTACAAACATATTGTTGACATCACGTGTCTAAAATAAGGCGTTCTGAGACATATTTGCAAACTGTTTATTTTATTTACTCGGCATATTTGGCATTCGTTCAGCAATACTGCAAATGAATAAGCGATATGAAGTTATTAAGTTTTGGATAGTGATGGTAGGATTAAATTGATTTCATTAATCGTATTTCTAAATCATAATTGCATATATTGTAACATCTTTGGCAATTGTAGTTTATTTTTCTGTTTGCGTTAATCTTACAATAGCATCCCATTGCATAATCTATGACATAATGCATCCAGCCGCGGTTACTGATGATCTGAATGATAAAACTGTTCTAGATTAAGTGACACATGTATGTGGCCAGTAAGCTCCACGCACCAAAATGATGATCACAGTAAGCTAGCACAAATAATATAACTAGTGATAAGCAATAGACATGCTTACAAAGTCCGATTCAACTGAAGACAAGTAAAAAGCAAATAATGCCAATAAAAGAGGGGCTCTATACATTCCATCACACTCAAGTGAAGATATGTCACTAAACGAATACTTCTAGATATGTATATTTAGATTCAACAAACGGGAAGTTCATAATATTCTTAAAATAAATATCATTGCAATCATATTTTAGTTTTGTTCAGTCTAATTAACCCGTCCACCATTAACTGAAATAAACCAAATACTCTCTGTCGCAAGTGATCCGAGTAGGATATTTTTTGAAAAGACAAACTGTTGCTGTGAATGTAAGGTTTCCATTAATAGAATCACACAGTCTATATGGTTGCATCTCTACTAGGTACAATGGTGTATAATATTTACAGTTGTTCCAGTATCTGGCAATGCCCTAGCAATTGAATTTATTTTTTAATATTAGTTGTAATCTGCAAATTAGGCATAGAACATAACCCGGAGCGAGATTTACTTAACATTTACAACCATTCCTAACTAGAGGTAAGTACAATATAAACACGAGTTCATGTTAATGCTACATAGCGATTACATGTAGCAAACCCCTGCTGAAAACATTAAAATTCAAAGTTTTTTATAAAACCGTATGTTCTATACGGAAAACACATTAGATAAAACACCACTAGCGACATGGCAGTCTGTTAATATAGATTCCTGGGGCCCATATGCTCTGAATTCGTTTAGTTGTAAACACATCATGTTCTTAACAAATGCATTACTAAAAAAACATGTTTATTTGACAATCACGCTAGAAGTAATTAAGACGTAGCCTTAAAATGTGTGGGTATACGAGTGTCATACGGTTCTATCATTGTATGACAATGAAAGGTACGGGTATACGAGTGTCATACGGTTCTATCATTGTATGACAATGAAAGGTACGGAAAAACGTAAATTGAGTTCAACTACAAAGTGATGCATTAATATCGTGTATATTACTGTAAGAAACAAAAATAAATGATAAATTGAAAATGTCTGCATGGAAGCTTGTTTCCTTACTTCATACTTTGGATATCTGTGCGTACTGCAATGAGTATTAATTAAACAGACCCTCTTTTCTAGTGTATATGGTTTCATTTATATTAGACTAGTGCAGTACATATAATATTTTAACAATATAGTAATTTCTAATACTGTAGAAGTTTCGATAGGAATTAATAACAAATAAACAGCGTTCATTCTATGATTGACTCACATATAAGTATGAGAATTATTAATTTTTTATTGTTCCTAAACGTATTTATATTTTTCACAATAATAATGCGTGTGTTTATATTACATACGTATAACCAATCTGATTAAAATCCCATGTAGATATAGGCTATAGGCTTTTTTTTAATTTTTATATTTTTTAATTTTTGTTTATTTTATGAATATTTTATTTGCCGATAATAAGTTTTTATTATATATATTGTATCTCGATTGCCGTAACTACATCTGACTCGGGATAGTTCAAACCACTTTTACAAGGATGCGCCGCTCGGCTAAAATGACATGCCCCAGACAGAGTATCGCCTGTATCCAGACATTTCATACTGTGTAAATACATAAATATGTCATTCACTATAAAGAAATGTATACCACCCGCTCCGAAAAGAAATTGCGAGAATGTAATGCACACAATTATAATAGTTAGATACGTTGATGTACTTACTGCCATGTCAGTACTGTATCGCTATTGCGTCGAGTACGAGTCAGCGTACTCCGGTTGGTGGCAGGGTCGGTGCCTAGACTGGCATGGCCTGACCGGCGGTGGGCAGGACGGTAACGCCACCTTCAAAGTGTGTCTATATTTTAGATCACATTAACTCGAATACTCTGTTCTCCAATCGTAATTACACACAAAAGCTACTACAATTTTGTGCACAAATGGCCAAACTCATCTCCAAATCGCCATCTTCGATCGATAACTCAGGAAGTTAACAGCATAATTTGCCTTCTTGAAACACGATGAATCGCGCATGTTCTAGTTGCAATACTTGTTTTATAAGGCGCTCTGTAATTGGTCGATAAAACTCGTCAAAAACTAGTCTCGTTGCACGAGATATCCTATTACATTGAGTTTGATATCGTTATTGTGAGCGAGATGCGATATATAAAGTCGTAGGACCAAAAATATTCATAAATAACCAAAAAATAACAAAATATAAAAATTAAAAAAGATAACCAACTACATCTACATCGAATTTTAACGCGTAACATAGATTGTTAATATTGAGAGGGACATACTTAGATTCTTATGTGCATAATACTTATTACTCATTTAAGATGAATGTCTAGCATATGTTTTTTTAAATGCTTGACTTTTCTGATAGGGTCGCAAAATCGTTGACTATAATGAACTTGTAAGTTGTAAGTTTCCGTAAGTTGACTTTTTTAAGTTTGATTACTGTCTCGTAGTGTGATAGAATAGCTGGAAACGTAATCAAAATAATTTAGATTGCGCAATATATATGCCAATACATGAGCAAAGAACAAATAAGTTTAAAAGAGTACTCCACATGGTGATTACTGATTGCGAAATAGATAATGATTTGCATCTATCGATTCCAACCCGTCGTATTGCTCGATGTGTCACCCGGTGGTGTCACCTGAGAACAGTTAATATGCATGGGGGCAACAAAGAAGACAATTCGTCTGACAAAACAGACACTGGTAACCATTTACTCAATTGACCTTCCATTTTGCATTTCCATGAGAAAATACAAGAAAACAATCCCAGAAAATATGTTAATTTATGAAAATTACACAAAGATTGAAAAGAGCAAGATCGCATTTCTTCTAATGTTAGAGAGATTAAAGTAACACAATCATAACACTTTTCTTGTATTACGCGGTTGATAGAGGCTGAAATCGC